CCCTGCATACTCGCATTGTTTGCTTATATTAATCCTTTGTAATTTGACCTAATTTCCACTTTTTATACAACTCCCTTTTGATTTTTAGATCATGTCAGATCTCCTGATTAAACCAAGGTGGCCCCTTGCCATACTTTCTATCTTTCCTACACAGTGGTTTAGTTTGCTTTTAAGCCCTTAATAATGCCTCTTTGAAAAACTGCCAACACTTTTCAGTTGTTTTTCTTCTTAATATTGCTTCCTTACCTACTTGCTCTCTGAGTTTACTAACTTCTGCCTTCCTGAAATCCATTGTCTGTATTTTGCTGTTCTCCCATCTATCATTCCTTAGAATCATGAACGCTATGATTTCATGATGACTTTCACCCAAGCTGCCTTCCACTCTCAAATTTTCAAACAGTTCCTCCCTATGTGTAAAAAATCAAATTTATAACAATTTCCTCCCAGTAGCTTTCCCAACCTTCTGAAATAAAAAAAATGTCTCCAATGCAGTCCAAGAACTTATTGGTTAATCTGTGCCCTGCTGTGTTAGTTTCCCAATTTACATCTGGATAGTTGAAGTCCCCCATCACCCCCAAATCTTGGGCTTTGGATGATTTTGTTAGTTTAAAAAAAAGCCTCATCCACCTGGGTAGGTGGCCTGTAGTAGACTCCTAGCATGATATCTCCTTTGTTTTTAATTATTTTTAGCCTAACCCAGAGACTCTCATCACTTCTGTCTCCTATGTCCATCTTCACCTCACTCCAAGTGTGTTCATTTTTAATGTATAAGGCAACACCTCCTCCCTTTTTTCCCTGTCTAGACTTCCTGAGCAAGCTGTACCCTTCCATACAAACATTCCAATCATGTAGTATCCCACCAAGTTTCTGTGATGCCAACAATGTCTTAATTGTACTTATTTATTAGCACTTGCAGTTCTTCCTGCTTATTTCCCATACTTCTCGCATTTGTATATAGGCATCTAAGATCCTGATTTGACCTTGCCTCCCAGTTTTGCCCTAACCCTCCTTTTTCTCTGCCATTGTCTCCCACGCTCCCTCCCATTTCTGACCCATCTCCCAGGTCTCCATGTTCTCCACTTACCTGTGAGCTTTGCTCACCTGTCCCCGTCGAACCTAGTTTAAAGCCCTCCCCACGAGGTTAGCCAGTCTGTGTCCAAATAGGGTCTTTCCCCTCCTCAAAAGGTGAACGCCATCCCTGCTTAGCAGTCCTTCGTGGAATAGCATCCCGTGGTCGAGGAAGCCAAAGCCCTCCTGGCGACACCATCTTTGCAGCCAGGTATTCACCTCCAGGATGCACCTGTCTCTGCCTGGGCCCCTACCTTCTACAGGAAGGATCGAAGAGAATACCACCTGAGCTCCAAACTCCTTCACCCGTACTCCCAGAGCCCTGTAGTCACTCTTGATCCACTCAGTGTCACACCTTGCAGTATCATTAGTGCCCACATGGATGAGTAGCATGGGGTAGTAGTCAGAGGGCCGGATAATCCTCGACAATGCCTCCATAACATCTTGGATACAGGCCCCGGGCAGACAGCATACCTCCCGAGATGAAATGTCAGGGCAACATATGGGCACCTTCATCCCCCTCAGAAGAGAGTCTCCTAATCATTTTAGTTGCCCTTCTTTGAACCTTTTCTAATGCCAGTATATCTTTTTCGAGATGAGGAGACCACATCTGTACGCAGTATTCAAGATGTGGGCGTACCATGGATTTATATAAGGGCAATAAGGTATTCTCCGTCTTATTCTCTATCCCTTTTTTAATGATTCCTAACATCCTGTTTGCTTTTTTGACTGCCGCTGCACATTGAGTGGACGTTTTCAGAAAACTATCCACGATGATTCCAAGATCTCTTTCCTGATTAGTTGCAGCTAAATTAGCCCCCATCATATTGTATGTATAGTTGGGGTTATTTTTTCCAATTTGCATTACTTTACATTTATCCACATTAAATTTCATTTGCCATTGTTGCCCAGTCACTTAGTTTTGTGAGATCTTTTTGAAGTTCTTCACAGTCTGCATTAACCTGAACTACCTTGAGCAGTTTAGTATCGTCTGCAAACTTTGCCACCTCACTGTTTACCCCTTTCTCCAGATCATTTATGAATAAGTTGAATAGGACTGGTCCTAGGACGGGTCCTGGGGGGACACCACTAGTTATCCCTCTCCATTCTGAAAATTTACCATTTATTCCTACCCTTTGTTTCCTGTCTTTTAACCAGTTCTCAGTCCATGTAAGGATCTTCCCTCTTATCCCATGACAACTTAATTTACACAGGAGCCTTTGGTGAGAGACCTTGTCAAAGGCTTTCTGGAAATCTAAGTATACTATACTGGATCCTCCTTGTGACCTCTTCAAAGAACTCTAAGGGTATGTCTACACTACCCTCCTACTTCGAACTACCCTCCAATTAAAATATGCTAATGAAATATGAATGCCAAACATATCTTATACTGTAAAGAAGTGACATAATTTTTCTTTGATTTTTTAAGTAGCTTTGTATAAAGCTTGAGGAAAATGTAACTTCTTGTTAACATTATTTCTAAGGAGCAGTTTTAAAATGTTAAAGTTAAAAATAGAATTGTCCATGAAAGTGAATATCATCTTATTTGAAAGCCTGTATTCTTCTGTATTTCTCTTTTTAAAAGAGAGACTGCTGCATCATGTCTCATCACGTTACATTTCATGAGGAGTAACGGTAGTTCGAACTAGGAAACCTAGTTCAAACTACCTAGTTCGTGCCCCGTGTAGCCGCGCGGCACAGGGTTCGAACGAGCAGGGTTTTAAAAATGGCGGAGCCCCGCTTATGCAAATGAAGCCCGGGAAATTCAAATCCCGGGCTTCATTTGCAAGTGCGGTATGCCTACATTACCCCACTAGTTCGAACTAGCAGAGTAGTGTAGACATACCCTAATAGATTAGTAAGACATGATTTCCCTTAAGAGAAACTATGTTGACTTTTGCCCAACAAATTATGTTCTTCTATGTGTCTGACAATTTTATTCTTTACTATTGTTTCAACTAATTTGCCCAGTACTGATGTTAGACTTACCGGTCTGTAAGTGCCCTAGAGCCATTTTAAAATATTGGCATTACATTACACTTCCTCCTCCTTCCGCAAGCTACATTTCTCTCACATACACCCCTGCCTTTCCTCCTCCTTTGCCCCAAGGTAATCTTTTGCTTCAAATTTTGAACAAAAATGTGCAAGGAAGTTGGTTCTGGGCTTGACTGTATTTTATCTTCTATCCCTAGGCCATATTCTCTGGAAAACTGAGTTAGAGATGTTCCATTGGTAATGACACTGCAGGTATGCTCTGGACTCAGAGCTAAAATCCATGTACTGCACTGCAATGCAGGGGCATTGGAACAATTTTTATAGTAGAGGTGCTAAAGGCGGAAGCCATGTGTTTGGTTATTGCTACTTCAAGCTGAGGGGTGCTGCCGCCCTCCTACTCCTAGCACCCCTGCTGCAGTGTGCATATAGTGTGCAGTAGCTTTTCTGGTTTCTAAAGAAGCTATTAGAAACTCTCATCACACAAGACTTTTGAATTCACACTTGATGTGTAGAGTGTTTGAGGTGCATGATACACAGATTGAGATAAAACTATCAGACAGTTTTGCTCATGCTGGAATGCAGCATGTTTCAAAGGTCTAACTCAAGGAAGACAGAAGGAGGAAATCTAGCTTGATATGTTCCAGCCCTCAATTATTTCAACAGTGACAAAGGGAGAGAGAAATAAATAGCCACATTCATATACAAAGGGTGGTACAAAATGAAAACAATGTGTAAATAGAACAGAATCAAATATGGAATCCAATAAATAGCGAGCAGTAAGTTCCCTCTTTAATTTTGGGGTGGGGGGAGGTGGAATTTAGCAGCACTGCCCCCTCCAATGGACATGAATGCAACATTAATCTTGCCAACTACAACATGAGAATGGATTATATATTTATAAACAGCTGGTTTAGTCACACAAACAATTTATATTTTATAGGCATGCCATTGTTTGTTTGCTTTTTAAAATCCAGAAGGAAAAGGTAATCCAGTAATATTCTACCATTGCACTATGGAAAGTGTCCATTCTACATACTTTTAGTAAATAAGAATATTAGGCTAAATCAGACAGTGCTTTGCCTAAACCTTCACTGGCTTTAGTGGAAGTTTTGCCTCATTAAGGACTGTATGATTTGATACATTTCTAATGAAACTGGTTATTTCACATTTGATCTCAGTTGGCCAAATGCAGAGCAAGCATTAGCAAGTGCAAATCCACTGATGTCAATGGAGTTGCACCAATACAGGTGTATTTAGACCATTATTTTTAGCCTTTGGTGCGTCAGAAGTTGGTAAATTCAATCTAATCACTCAACAATTTGCCACCATATTTTTAATAGATGAGACAGCTACCCACACATGCTTCCTTTGTATCCCAGGAAGATACCATGGTGTATCATAATAGAACAATCTCCAATGAACACAGCATAGGAAAGAGTTTTCTCTGTACCAGATTTCATAGAACATTCAAGTTACTCCTGGTCACTGTGATCAGTCCCAACACATTTATTCATTCTCAGTGAATCCAGGGAAAAGGCTGTGGGCGAAACAGGCCTCGATTCAGGAATGTGCTCCCTTCTATACTTTTCAATGTAAGGTTCAGCTACTTCCCAAACCTACAAGACAAAAAGAGCAACAGCAGAGTCAGAAGTGAAACCTTCAGGTTTAACGGGTTAACTGGTGGGGCTGGAACAGTCCCTTGCCTGCCAGGCAGGGGGCTGCTCCAGTCCCACAGGGAGTCCGTCATGGACAGGAGCTGCTCCAGTGCAGCCCCTGCCTATGGCAGACATGGGCACCCAACATACAGGGGCTGTTCTGGTGTCCTGCTGAGCAGCATCTGTTTGTGGTGGGCCCAGGCACCCCACAAGCTGGAGGCCCCTTCCACTTGTCCCCTTTTAATTGATTAACTAGTTAAACAGTATGTTAGCCAATTAAACAGGATTTTACAACCCTATTTTAAATTAAAAGTTTCCTTTCCAAAGACTACAACTACAATCACCACATATTTTCCTTCCAAGAATTAAATCATGCATGTGAATAAAGTTTCCTTTCCAAAGACTACAACTAAAATAACCACATATTTTCTTTCCAAGAATTAAATCATGCATGTGAAGGAAGGAGCTGGTTTGCCCCTGAACCCAATAGTCAAGGACCATTTTAAAAGAACAGCAGAGCTCTCCTTAAGGAGTGCACTGCTGCTCCAATGCTAAACCAACACCTGCCTTCTGCTCCACAAGCAGCCTGTGAGCTGCCTCAATGTCTGGGGCCATGAAACGATCCTTTAGCCAGGGCCTGAAAGGAGACAAATTGATAATGTTAGCCAAACATTAACCAGCATCGTAGTCAGCAGGTCTTCAAAGCTGCAACCTCTGGGACAACGTTATTTGATTTTACCTTACAACAGAGCGCACAAGGTCATAGACTTTCTCCAATGGGGTGGTTGTTCTCAAGGGGCGTAGAAACTCAATGCCCTGGCAAGCTGCAAGAAGTTCAATGGCCAGCACTGGGAAACCAAACAGTGAAAGACAGGCGAGTGGGTTTTAGGGTGTACAACTCATTGTAAGTTTACATCTGGAGAATCTCTGAAGGGAGCTAGTTACACTTAACAATAAAGTGCTATGCAATGCTTAACTGAGGCGGTTGAATAGAAGACCCATTTAATAGATGGGAGAAACAGAGAGAGATTCAGACAGAATACCACCCTATACAGAAAACCTACCGACCGCTATACTTACCTGCATGCCTCCAGTTTCCATCCCGGACACACCACACGATCCATTGTTTACAGCCAAGCACTGAGGTACAACCGCATATGCTCCAACCCCTCAGACAGAGACCTACACCTACAAGACCTTCAACAAGCATTCTGTAAACTGCGATACCCACACGAGGAAGTGAGGAGACAGATTGACAGAGCCAGACGTGTACCCAGAAGCCTCCTGCTACGGGACAAGCCCAAGAAAGAAACCAACAGAACACCACTGGCCATCACCTATAGTCCCCAGCTAAAACCTCTCCAACGCATCATTAGTGATCTTCAGCCCATCCTGGACAATGATCCCTCGCTCTCACAGGCCTTGGGAGGTAGGCCGGTCCTTGCCCACAGACAACCCGCCAACCTGAAGCATATTCTCACCAGCAACTACACACCGCACCATAATAACTCGAACTCAGGAACCAATCCTTGCAACAAACCTCGGTGCCAACTCTGCCCACATATATACACCAGCAACACCATCACAGGACCTAACCAGATCAGCCATACTGTCACTGGTACATTCTCCTGCACATCCACCAACGTAATATATGCCATCATGTGCCAACAATGCCCCACTGCTATATACATCGGCCAAACAGGACAGTCCCTACGTAAAAGAATCAATGGACACAAATCTGATATTAGGAATGGCAACATACAAAAACCTGTAGGGGAACACTTCAATCTTCCTGGACACACAATTGCAGATCTAAAAGTAGCTATCCTGCAGCAAAAAAACTTCAGGACCAGACTTCAAAGAGAAACTGCTGAGCTACAGTTCATCTTTAAGTTTGACACAATCAACTCTGGATTAAACAAAGACTGTGAATGGCTTGCTAACTACAAAAGCAGCTTCTATTCTCTTGGAATTCACACCTCCAGATCAGCTGCTAGAAGTGGGCCTCATCCTCCTTGATTGGATCCACCTGGTCATCTCCAGCCTGATCCTGGCCTGCATATTTATTCCTGCCTCTGGAAATTTCCACTACATGCATCTGACGAAGTGGGTCTTTGCCCACGAAAGCTTATGCTCCTACACTTCAGTTAGTCTATAAGGTGCCACAGGACTCCTCGTCTCTAATCTTGGGTGCCAAGATGTGCTGAGCCTGACTTTTCAAAGTGCTAAGTTAGTGATGGGCAATGTAGGCTAGTGAATGGCCCTCCTTCATCTCAGTGGGTCGCACGATTGTTGTAACCAAGACAGTCTCCTGGGATAGATTATTTTGCTAACTGCACATGTGTGAGTAGGATTTGCAGAGGGAGCCAACTGAACCGCAGAAGCACTTTGATTGGATGCAAAGGAAGCGCATGGCTGGCTGTCAATGTTGTGTACATTGCAAAGGAAGCGCATGGCTGGCTGTCAATGTTGTGTGCATTCAGTACACACCTCACTTCACGTGCCCTGGCTCTCTGTGCGTGCCACGTTAGTAATATTGGTGGGAAAAACCTAGGCAGACAGAAACCAATGGAATCTGGCAACTCTGTGCATGGGCAAGAGTAAACAAAAGGTCTCAGCCACACATAGAACCCCAATGGGCTGCATGCGGCCCACAAGACGCAGGTTGTCCACCACTGTGCTAAGTGCTTAAAGTGCCCATTGTCTTCAACTGGCATGCTGGTTGCTCAGCACCTATGAAAACACCTCTAAAACTATAGCCCAAAACAGAGACATCCTAAATCAAAGCCTTTTTCCAGAACTAAATTAGATGTAGCAATGGGCCTGAGCTGTAGATTTCAGATCCAGTTTTGCAACTCCCCGGTGAACTAGGGTGTATGTCCAGAGCTGGAATAATTCAGGCCCACCTCTCGTTAGTATAACAACTCTAGCAGAACTAAAAGATCTTGACACACATGTATTGGAAAAGCTTGCACGGTATCTGCCTGATTAGCCAGTGGCATTTATCCCTCACACAAGGGCCAAATTCTCCTAAGGAAAATATTATCTAAGATGCATTGTTTTCTCCAATTATACCTTCACTTTGCAGAATGCACAAAACGATAACACTTAGTATTTTTATAGATCTCCACAGCTTCAGAGAATATATAAACCCAGGTAAGGGCGAATTGTACATATTGGTTTTCATGGTACGTATTCTGTTCTTCCAACAATAGCTGAAATTTGTTATTTTTAAAAGTTCAGCTTTCACCTTTCAAGACAACGAAGAATGGAAGAATTTAGGCTTTGATAAGGGGTTTTGTTTTGGTGGAACACACTAATCTATATTCATCTCAATCATATTTCTGCCAGAAAGAAATTTAAGTAACTACTTAAGACAATATCTTAAAAGACTTCCTTAAAATGACTGAAGGGCCCTTAAAAAAAAGACTTCTAGAAAGAAAGGCATGTCATTTTAATCTAGTTCCAATATTGTAGATTTGTCTAAAATCAATGTCTTAATTTTACCTTGTTCAACATGTTCAATAACTTTCAATGCTTTGCGTGAAGCCCATCCGCCCATGGACACATGGTCCTCTGTAGCAGCACTGGTTGAGAGAGAATCCACAGAAGAAGGGTGGCACAAGGCTTTATTCTCAGAAACTGCAAAAGTCCAGTGTGAATAAATGGCGCACTATATGGACAAACAGACTCTAGAAATATGAGTCACGTCTAAAACCCTGCGATGAAGGAACCCAAACCATCTACAGTGAGTGCATGCCCCTGGGATGTCTTGACTGAGCCATCTGCAGTATCTAACACTGAAGTCATTTTGCCTCTAAAGACAGTAATATACATTGGTCATCAGATGCTGATGATAACCCAACTATATAAAGTTAAACATTACAGTCAAAGAAAAGGATTCATTTAAAAATCAACCAAGGGTCAGATCTTCAGTCCAGCTGCTCTGGGAGTGCAAAGCACCTGCAAACCCCCCCCACTCCTCTGCTCTTGGCATCCTCCTGGGGACTCCCCCCAGTGTCAGAACATTCCCAAGAGAAACAAGGCATGGCCGGGCAACTCTAACACCCCTGAAATCCACAGCTGCTGGAATGGAGTCTTAGAGCAGCCAAGATGCCTTAATTTATGTCAGACCAGCCCCCAGCCTGTGACCAGGAAGTCAGGATGGAGGACTAGGAAGAGAAGCAGTCTCAGGGGATGTCTACACTACAGCGCTAATTCGAACTAAGTTAATTCGAATGAGCACAGCTAGACCTAAAAACTAGTTCGAATTAGCGTTTTGCTAATTCGAACTAGCATGTCCACATTGAGTGGACCCTGAACAGCGGTTAAGGATGGCCGGAAGCAGTGCCGGCAGGGCATCAGAGTAGGACTTAGAGCGTGGAGATGCTGTCTCAGGCTAGCCGAGGGCTGTGCTTAAAGGGACCTGACCCCCACCCAGGACAGACAGTTCTCAGGGGTGCCCCGCTTGCAAAGCAGTCCTGGCTTGGATTGCCCGGAGTACCCACACTGGGCACATCACAGCACTCGGCCATCAAACCGGCTGCACTTGGGGGGCTGCAGGAGAGGCGCAGTTGGGGGGCTGCAGGAGAGGTTCCACCCCCAGAAGCCCGCAGAGCCAGCCCAGTCCTCCCCATCGGGGGCTCGTACCCCATTCCTCCCTCACCTCCTTCCACTTACCCTTCCCTAGCCCCCCTTCCTGATGTACAAAATAAAGGACAATTGTGTTCTAAAATAGAATCTCTCTTTATTGAACAAAACTGGGGGAGACTGGGAAAAGGAAGTGGGAGAGGGGAAGAGAGAGGCTGGGAGAGGGGAGGGCAACTACAATGATGAGGGGTTTGGAAGAGGTCCCATATGAAGAGAGGCTAAAGAGACTGGGACTTTTCAGCTTAGAAAAGAGGAGATGGGGGGGGGATATTAGAGAGGTCTATAAAAGCATGAGTGGGGTGGAGAGGGTGCATACAGAAAAGTTCTTCATTAGTTCCGATAATAGAAGGACTAGAGGACACCAAAGGAAAGGAATGGGTAGCAGGCTTCAAACTAGTAACAGAAAGTTGTTCTTCACAAAGCAAAGAGTCAACCTGTGGAACTCCTTGCTGCAGGAGGCTGTGAAGGCTAGAACTAGAACAGAGTTTAAAGAGAAGTGAGATCAAGTCATGGAGGTTGGGTCCATGGAGTGGTATTAGCCAGGGGGTAGGAGTGGTGTCCCTGCCCGAAGTTTGTGGAAGGCTGGAGAGGGATGGCACGAGACAAATGGCTTGGTCACTGTCTTTGGTCCATCCCCTCCAGGGCCCCTAGGGTTGGCCGCTGTCGGCAGACAGGCTACTGGGCTAGATGGACGTTTGGTCTGACCCAGTACGGCCATTCTAAGCTCCGGGCTCAGGGTCAGGGGTCTCAGTGGACCACCTTGATTTTCATGCAAACCTGCTCCTGGGTGGCCAGGCTGGCAGCTCTCCTGCCCTAGACGGCCGCTTTCCTGTGCCTAGTGCGGAGGTCGTGGACGAGGTCCACGATGTCTGCACTGGACCAGGCGGGTGCCCGCCTCTTGCGGTCCTGGGCAAGCTCCCGGGAGTCGCCAGCCTGGTCCCGGGAAGAGGGAGAGGGCTGGGGGGCATCGGGTGGCTGGCTCGAGCCGTGCCAGGTGCAGGGTCTGCTGGCTGGGTGCTGGCAGGCTTGCACCTGGCACGGGCACCGTAGCCAGCCCGTGCCCCTTTAAGGGCTCCGGGGCCGGGAGGGGGGCATATGAGTTTTCCTGGTGGTGCCCAGAGTGGCCACCAGGGAAAGCTGGGGAGGGCTAGCCTCCCACTAGTTCGAATTAAGGGGCTACACACCCCTTAATTCGAACTTGTAAGTTCGAACAAGGTTAGTCCTCGTAGAATGAGGATTACCTAGTTCGAACTAAGCGCTCCGCTAGTTCGAATTAAGTTCGAACTAGCGGAGCGCTAGTGTAGCGCCTATCAAAGTTAATTCGAACTAACGTCCGTTAGTTCGAATTAAATTTGTAGTGTAGACATACCCTCAGAGTTACTCTGTGCAGTAGAAGGGGCGATAACCATTTTGCCTCTCTCAGTCAGAAGGCCGACCCAGTATCTCTAGCTCCAAACCAGAGAGTCTGAGGTCCAAGATGAGGCAGCACCATTGAGGACTGAAAGCCACCTGAGCCTGTTAAGGCCTCATCTCCAGCACTGTTAGGCATGCTAAAGTCTCACCAGAAACCAAGCTGGAATCAGCAGTCTCATCTGATACACGCCGCCAGTTGAAACACTAGCTGCTTGCCTAACCTTCTCAGATTTGATCAAGAAGTTCACCTGTCTTTGGGTCACTTTTTGTTTCTGCATTTCTGCAGATGGAATCCTATCTGAAACACGCCTTCAATATACTACCCAACTGAGAAAACTGTTCTAAACTGCACAGCACCAGCCCGCTACTGCTCCACAGAACTATCGGAATAACAAAGCATGCTGTGACCAAAGGGCCAGAGATCAGGAACTGCATGGTAGAAGTCAGAGTTTTCATCAGGACTCTGGGCATTCTTGGGACACACAATATTGAAGATGCGTAGAAGGCTGAGTCCTACCCATAGACAAAGTTTCACGTCTGTCATTCTGCTGATCCAAGCTAGTGAAAGAAGTGGGCTCCTGCCTCTGGGGACTTGCACAGGAATCACATCCTTTTAACAGGACTAGTGGTGAGGTCTGCGAGAACCACCTCACCTCCAGTATACACCATTTGACAGATAAGTGGTCAGCAACAGCCTTCTAGTATCACTCCTTTTCAAAACTTTATCTATTTCTGAGAGGTCAGAAGACCACAATTACCTTACACTGCAGCTCTTTTTGGCTTAGGCCTTGTCTGCATTACTGTAGGCCATCAACCTAAGTTATGCAACTTCAGCCACATGAAGTCAATGTACTTGGGCCTGCTTGCCATGGTATCTTCATTGTGCTAAGTTGACAGCTGACGCTCTCCCATCAACTCTGCTTACTCTTCTCATTCTGGTGGAGTACTAGAGTCGATGGGAGAGTGCTTGGCAGTCAATTTATTGTGTCTATATCAGACATGATTAATCTAGCCCTTCTGGATTGATCAGTGCCCCCTGATCCAGCCTACAGTGAAGACATGCCCCCAAAGGGAGAGGGCAACATTGGGGATCTACACCAGCAATTTACTTTTAAAGTATCAAGTCCAAGCTCTCTGAACAGATTGGTTCACACTAGAGTGCAAACAACCTGATTCATATTCCAGACCAAGGTACAGTTGACCAGTTCATGAAGCTATCCCTGGTCTACCCATTGGGTCACCCTATAGTGGAGAAGAGACTGTCCAAGCCATTCATGGCGAAGAAGAAATCAATGATTCCGGTTTAGAAGGTGGAGAACATGACACAATGGTCACACCCTCTTCAGAAGAATTATCAAAGCCTCGACAGGTGAAGCCCGCCATAAAGTTATCTTGAGCGTCCCTACAGATGTGGTACATAAATTGATATCACCCCAAAAGGGCTTTCTTATGACCTCTTGGACAGGGCATAAGGTGTGTGATACCTAGTATGCACCAGAAGCAGTCTCATGTATGCACCTCTGTATGAATCAGGGGTCATACAAGTCTGAGATAACAGTGCCCAGAAAAGCATTTACTGTATTTTGGATGTTTGCATATGGTTTGTTTGCAGGGTATAGATCCCTTGGTAGCCTGGGGACGTCAGAGAAACAGCTCCCAGCAGTTCCTACCTAGCAGAGCACAGACTCAGACTGGAACTCCAAAGGAGACTGCCTGTCCTTGGGGAAGGTGGGGGGATGGACAGCCTGTGGAGTCTGTCTGACATGTCTGGGATAGTAAGAGCAGACCCTGGGAAAGCTTGCACATGGGCTGGGCCACGTGAGCTGAGCCAGGCAGGTACCCGTGACCAGGATGAGAGCTGGCTGCAGGGAGTCTCCTCCTACCTGAAACAGTCTCACATTTGCTCTGTGCTGTAGAAGGGGAGACAGGCAGCCATTTTGATGCTCCCCAGGAGAAAGACTGAGCCAGACCTGAGTCCTGAGATACTGCTGCCACCGTGAGCAATGAAAGCCAGCTAAGCCCATAGGCCTCTCCTGCATTGGGATCACTGCTGTTGTGGGATTGGTGAAGGCCTCATTCATTTAACATCCTTTATTCCTTTGCTTGCTCTTGACCGCTCTTAATTTACTCCCCTCTCGTCTGTGAGTAAATGGCTGTATGATGTGTTTGACTTACTGCACCTGCCAATTGTAATAAGCTAGGACTCATAGGGCTTGTTATTGGTTTCTGTACTGAAGGGGAACTGATTTAATGTGGGACTGTGGTGCTTAACCCTTCCCAAACTCAGACTCCAATCCTATGAAGATTTCAATAGGATTACTTAAGTGCTTAAATCAGAACATCATTTGTAATAAGCTCTCTTGTTAGTATTGCTTAGGCCTTCACGTACTCACCCAGGGCCGCTGCTGTGCAGTGCGCAATCATGAAGCCAGAGTTCAGACCGCCCTCTGTTACTAGAAATGCAGGCAGCTCACTGAGAGATGGGTTGCAGAGTCTTTCAATCCTTCTTTCACTAATTGCAGCAAGTTCATGAACACCAATTGCCAGGTAGTCCAGAACCTATGAGAGAATCTCTTGATGGAATCAGCTGTTTGAGGGGGGAGGATGGCTTTTTAGTTTCAGAAAATAAGTTAATATTTCTCCAAATGCTTAGTTACCTTTGCTGGGTATTCACCATGAAAATTTCCTCCAGAAATGGTCTCACCCCTTTCAGCAAAAACCATCTTTAAAGACTTGTTAAGGTGTGAACATGAATGAAGAATTGCTGAAATACCACACGTCTCTGGGTAACCAGAATATCCTATTTGAAAGGAAGAATTGATGCACAACTGCATATGCACATAGATGCAGCTCACACTTCTGCATGGTCAATTGTCAGAAAATATCGAACAGTGCCCAGCTCTTCCACCATACAGACACAGCTGAATGGTGTATTTTTAAAAAATAGACTGGCCAATCAGCAGGTGAAGCTTGTAATAAATGCAAAGTCCCTCTGAACACAGTTTCTAATATAATTTTCAATTGCTGGTGGAGTTCTCGCCAATGCAGGTGAAATTTTATATATAGTGAGCAAGATGACACTCGGTTATCAGCTAACACAAAGGAGCATCTGTTGCACATATCTTTATGATTAAAGAGTGGAATTCATTGTTGTTCAGAGCACCAATACAAGGTATATACACAGAGCTCCTGGTGCATAGCTCTTGTACTTACCCTTTATAGAATTCAAAATGCGTTCTAGAACACAAGTTTTACTACACATGAGCCAATCTGGTGTCAACTGACAAGTCACTGTCAACCTTCAAATCCAGCTGCCTGCCAAAGTTTCCAGTTGTCCCTATAAACATGGAAGCCTTAATCCAGCAAAGCACTTAAAATGTGTGCTTAACTTTAAGGAAGAGTAGCCCATTGACTAAGTACAAAGGTAAGCGATTACATGGATCAGGCCCATACTTTCTGCTTTATGAGGTAATAGTTATTTAGGAGGGGGAAAGTGACCAAACAAAATTTTATTAAGAAATCAGAAAGATACAGGATTGTCTGTTGCACTGTTAATTTCAGTTGTGATTATGTCCTTCACAAAAGCTATTGTGTCATTTACCACGCCATGGACCTAAAAGAAACAATAGCAATTAGCCACAAGTCACACATATGCGTAGTTTGCTCTCAAGACACGTATCTAATTCTCCTTTCTGGAAGCATGCTTCTATCTTGTCCGCACTCTCAGACTTTGCACCCTCACAGGGATACAGACCTTGATTTGATGTGATAACCAGGGAAATTGCTATTGTGGAATGTTGGGAGTACTGCATTCATTAAAGATTTGTCTTACTATGATGATGGCATTATACAAGAATGATGGCAATATAAATGTATATTTCTTTATGTGTTTGGGTTGTGTCCCCTCATGCTTCAGTCATGTGTACAACCTCTACCTGATCCAATTATTCAAAGTTCAGCTAATTGCTCAGTGTACAGTAGGTATTAAGGAATTGTAACTTAGCTTGGGAACCCTAATTCTTTAGTGTGTACACAGGCAAATCTCCCACCAATTTTGCCTGGTTTGCTTGAGTTGATATAAGATTGAATTCCTCAAAAGTTAAAATTACTGCTGTATACAAGATCTAGGAACTACTTATGTCTCTCTCAAGCCTTGTGGAAAAACATAATTGCATTATTTAAAAGGAGACAACTAACACTTAACTGACTGGGATTGGGATACATTTCACTGCTCCCAGTCTATCCCTATATCAGGGAGTGGGAAACTCATTTTACCTGAGGGCAACAGCGTAGCGTATAAGCATCCTGAACTCTGTCACAAAATCTGTGACTCTCTGCAAAAACAAAAGCAAGATTTCTTATAAGAAAAGGCCACATATCACTGGTGTAATTCCCTGTTGGTCTTGGAAATCAAACAGGTGACCTGCAAGGCAGGAAGCAAAGCTGTTTCACCTGCTATTTCTGATGGATGGTGGTCAGAGTCTAAAAGTGACCTAAATCGGAATGCCACTTCAATCTGTCCCCGATGTGCACGTACTTCATGGATATCTATTAAAACAAACCAAAGGGCATTACTCTTGCTTTCCCCTCTCCAAAAGCTAAGAGAAAGCGAACACAGAAAAATCAGCACCAACCCGTGTCAAAGGCTCTAGTTGTGCCCTTCAGGACTTCAAGTGTTAGCGCAGCAACTATGTCAGCCTGCCGAGCAATAGCACTGGCTCTTTCCACTGCTTCACATCCCAGAGAGGAGATCATCTGGGTTCCATTAATAAGAGCCAGACCCTTCAAAGAGACAGCATGTGTTTATTTTAAATGAACCGTCACATGCCATTGTACTTTTCATAATTACATGAGTCAGTTAAAGAAAAGCCTTTCCTAACATGCCTGGATTGCAATTAAATGAATCATTAAAAGGGTCGGAGATGCTTTGGTTTCTGCTATTTGGTTATTTTTCGATACAGTTAAGCCATCAGTTACTTTGAAGCTGTTATGTCCCCATGTCGCCTAACTAGGGGTTGTTTCCCAATAGGTAGTTTCACTAGCAAGCCAGTTACAATGGCTATGACTGTTGCTCACCTAAATGGGTTTCTGGCATAGGTTTGAAAACCTAGAAAAACTAGATATACAGCTAAGGTCTGAAGGACTTTTCTGGCCATCCCAACACGACTCTTTTGAAAGTCATCTGCATGTTGTGAGTAGTAGGACTACAGGAGAAATCACTGGCAATAATACACATTAAGGATTGTCATGTGAAAAAGGACATGGCAAACACTTTCATTTGTCCCCCATGTGGGTCCTAGGACAACTATATATAGGTTAATATAAACATTTACGTTACTGAAGTAAAAGTGGAGGTACTTTTCCTACAATAGAACAGCATGTGACATCATTGCTCTAAGGCAAACATTTACTTTTAACTGTTAGTCACTATATAAGATTCTACCATGTGTGAGGTTTATTTCATGTTAATTCCAACTTTTTTAAGGCTACAGGATAGCTTTCTTTTTTCTTTTTATTTGTCTTTGTAAGAGTAAGCCTTTAGCCTTCTACTGATTTTTGACCAAAGAATTAATTCAGCTCTAGACATGAAGCAGCTGAGGTCAGGAAAAAAACCCCACCAAAGCAAGGAAACTTTAAATAGAAGGTGGAGATTCTGTTTTAACTCCCCTTGTTCTAAAGCTCACTCAAGATATGGAAATCTCCATTGGCTTCAGTAGGCTTTGAATCAGGCATCTTGCTGCATGTACTGTAGATATTACAATTACTATGGTTCAATATTAGTGGTCTCAAGAGCACAGGAATACCTACATACCCACATAAACTCACATGTAGATTCTTAGTAAGATTTTATCAGTGTGGGTTCTTATTTAACAGATTAATACACCTAGGCTGTGTCTACACTGGCCACTTATTCCGGAAAAGCAACCGCTTTTCCGGAATAACTTGCCAGCTGTCTACACTGGCCACTTGCTTTTCCAGAAAAGCAATGACGATCTAATGTAAAATCGTCATTGTTTTTCCAGAAAAACTATGCTGCTCCCGTTCGGGCAAAAGTCCTTTTCCAGAAAAACTGTTCCGGAAAAGGGCCAGTGTAGACAGCCCAGTAGTCTTTTCCGCAAAAAAGCCCTGATCGCGAAAATGACGATCGGGGCTTTTTTGCGGGAAAGCACGTCTACGTTAGCACGGACGCTTTTTCGGAAAAAGTGCTTTTCCAGAAAAGCATCCTGCCAATGTAGACGCGCTTTTTCCGGAAATACTTATAACGGAAAACTGTTCCGTTTTAAGCATTTCCGGAAAAGGGTGCCAATGTAGACGTAGCCCTACATAAATAAGCATTTGTACCAAATTGATGCTAGTTACTGCTTATTAAATATCACAAAATGTGTTTCTTTCTGACATCTACCAACACAAGAGCATTCTGATCCCTACAGTGCAGGATAAATCCATTTGAATTACAAAGATTTCACATTAATAAAAAACAACAAAATCCATCTTATGAAATAAGGACTTCTTCGAACACAGTATTTCTGATGACAGCGAGCTGAGATGAGCCTCAAGCAGTATAATGTCAGTTTAATGGAATAGAAAGCAGACAGGTCAGTTCTGTAAACTTTAGAGCAGTGTACTACAGCAGGAGGAGGATTATTTTCACTGGTTTAGTTGCCATGGAAATGGGATGTGTCCATACCGGTTCTACACCAATTTAGTTTCCACTGATGCAGACTTCCCTAATATGGGAATAGGGATAATTTCCATCAATGAATGTTCAGGAAGCCACTGATAGTATAAAGTATCTGAGGATGAATGGCAGTTCCCAGTGGAACTTTCATATATAAGCAAGAACTACATTTTACCCTGGGCTGAAACTTTGTACACAGCATTTCTATAAATTGGCACAGTTGAACTGAATCACATGTAAACAGGAATTGAAACGGAAACGTTAACATACCCTTAGAGACTACAGTAGAGGGTATGTCTACACTACCCCGCTAGTTCGAACTAGCGGGAGTAATGTAGTCTTCCGCAGTTGCAAATGAAGCCCGGGATTTGAATTTCCCGGGCTTCATTTGCATGAAGCCGGCCGGCGCCATTTTTAAATGCCGGCTAGTTCAGACTCCGTGCCGCACGGCTACACGCGGCACGGAGTCCGAACTAGCCGGCATTTAAAAATGGCGCCAGCCTGCTTCATGCAAATGAAGCCCGGGAAATTCAAATTCCGGGCTTCATTTGCAACTGCGGATGACTACATTACCCCCGCTAGTTCGAACTAGCGGGGTAGTGTAGACATACCCTAATGGACTCCCTGTAACCAATCAAGAATTGGATAACCTTCTAGAATTGGAGTTAAAATAATCATTCATTCATCTCACTCTTAAAATACAGGCAACATATGCATTAAGCAACTACTGATTGGCTAGGCTTGGTTTTCATTACCTCCTTTGGTTTCAAGGTAATTGGTTTCAGGCCATGGGCTTGCAGCACCTGTAAAGCAGTTTATTCAACAGGGTGTTACTGAAAAATATCTTTCAATACATTGATTGGACAAGTTTGCTGACTGCATACAACCATCTGTTTGATTTTATGCTAATGAGCATTTTGGAATATTTCATAGTAAAGGGAGAGTGCTATGCACTGACATTTAGAACACTCTTTTGACTTGGCTGCCTGAACTAATGCTTGCTCTGTACTGTCATACAAGATACCCAGCCTTCAAAAGTCCAATGCTGCCAAATATTCGCATCACAAGAAAGAGGCATGCAAAATCCAAAAGGATAAAAAATGTTTTGAATCCATTGCACAGTTCTGATGAAAACATTTCCCTTTGCTCTCATAACACACTTAGCCTACCCAAAGCCAACTGAAAGAGATGGACAAAGAAGTCCAGTAGACAGACACATTAATCTTACATATTTAGCATCAGCCCAGCCACTCTTTGGGGACCACATCTTTCCTTCTCCTATTAACCCCAAAGCAAGATGAGATAGAGGGGCTAAATCTCCACTGGCTCCAACCGTCCCTTTCTCAGGGATATAGGGCAGGCAGGATGCTGGGAAGAAATCAGATTCTGGTTAGAGCCTCTCCTTGAAACACCAAGACACAAGCATATGAATCTGCCCCACTTGTCTTGAAGTGACATAGCGGAATAGCAATGGGAAAGCATCACCTCCCTCCCCGTTGCAAATGGGCATTTGTCAATAGTTCCTAAATTAGCTGTAGTTTAAAAATAAACCATTTGTTTCTGGCCAACCAATCAAAACGCAGTAAGCCTGCCATAGGATTAAATGTTTAGTTTGACTTAGTCCCCCAAAGGCTCACAGTTAAGGTTGAAATTCCAGCTTCACTATAGGAATGGGAGAATTTCAGCTGTGGCACTACATCTGACAGCCATTGGTGAGGTCACAAGAATGGCTCCCACTTAGCTCATCTTAGTTAAAATAGAAATGGAAGGCTGGAAGATACTTCAAGAAGTTTCCGGGACTCTCTTGCTATATCATTTCCAAGCCCCTCCCCAGATCTCTAAGAGCCCCTTCCTGTGCCCCCCCCATGTCCCAGAGCCCATCCATGTCCACCCACCTCCCAGGGAGTCCTCCAGCCTCCCAGATCCTCTCTCTTTTTCTTGATCGTCCGAAAGAGAGGTCTCAGTGCAGGGAGGGTTGGGATATTTCAGGGGTCAATTCTTCACTATCGCCACCCATCCTAGCTTCCTCCAGTATATTGGAGCATTTGCATATTAACCTCCTGCATCCATAACCCACCTTGCCTGGGGCTGGGCAGGGGCACTTGAATATTGGAGATGCTCAGTAGTGTGGGGAGAAAGCTACCCTTCTGGAACCCTCATGTCATTGTCTCATTGGTGTAAGGTTGCAGGGGGACAATCTGTATTACTCTAGTCCCTTCTTCTCCTTTCTGAGGCTTTCAGGTCACCATGCTCCCCTGCTACAAGTCCTCCGGTGCCCTCCTGTCACTGCTCCTCTCCCTGGGCTACTAAACCCTTGTGGAGAGCCCAGAGAGGCACTGGGGGCCAGGGAAACAAGCGGGGAGGCTGGGGAGGCTACAAAATGCCCAGGGGCACTAAAATGCAAGTTTGCCCAGGGAGCAATTTTCCCTAAGGCCAGTCATGGCTTTAGCGCCTATGCTACTACAGCTGATATTATTGAATATTTGGAGACTCAAGTATCTCAGATCACTTTAAAGCATGACAAACCATTCCCACACCTCCAGCCCCAGCCCTTCTTTGCAAACTTTTTGGCTTGGACACCAAACTGAAACTATTTGTTCAGCAAAGGATAAAGCAATAGCTGTATTAATTTCTAAAATATCCTTTTACCATTAAATGCTTCAATAACTTGCTGGAGAGTTTCCAGTGAAATTCCACTGTATCCTTTGGCTAAGACATTGATCCTGAGAGCTAAAAGCATGCGAGATCTCTCTGGGCTCAAAGGTTTCCCAACACCTGCAGTGACAACAGTTTCAAGGTTACAAATCCTAATTCTAAGAGTTGTGGAAGAGAAACAAATTTGAAATCAGTTTTTTCATTACCTGCAGAATGTGACCGAACTAAATTCACTTGAAGTTCCCTACAAAGAAATAAAAGTCATTTAAAAACTAAACAATTTGCAGTGTTCAAAAATGGAAAAAGTTTTTTACAAAATTGAGAAAAAACGTCAAAATATTCATCTCCTCTTAATAAGAAAAATGTACTAAAATGTACACTGTGCAAATAATAAAGATCTACGTTGTACACCCATTTTCTAAATTAAAGAAGGAAACAGATACAACATACTTGAGTTTGCTAGTTGGAATAACAGTTCGAGCAAACTTCCCAAAGCCAGTGGTTATTCCATAAACAACTGAAAAAAACAACAAAAAATATTTCAGATAAAGAGGCTAAATAAAGTAATCTAAAACTGACAAAAATGGAGTTAAAAAAGAAAAAAAAATACCAGTCTGTTCTTTTACAATTTTTTCAATCACCTCTCTTGATTGTCTAACTTTATCTTCAGCTTCAGGAGTGAGCTAGAAAAGCAACATTATTAATATTAATTCATTGTGAAAGCCAATTAAATAAAATGTGTTGAGGATTGGATTCTTCCAAAATCTTTACCTTGATTTTGTAGAGTCCCTTTCCTAAATTGACCAAGTCCTTTGTTGTTAAACTGCGCCCATCTAAATAAATATACTACGCAAAAGAACTGCATATTAGTGAATGACATCTATATGTAAGCCGTTTCCAACAATCACATCTAAATAAAAATATAGTGAAAGCTTAATAGTGAATTTTGTTAGAACAGAGTTCAGTCCTGTTCTCTTTCATACAAACAGAACTCTGTCAGAGAAGTATTAACAAAATATAGGTAACAACTAAAAACTAGAGGTAACTACTTAAGCAGTGATTATGGACGTTCCTGCAAACAGTGCAGAGCATAGTACTTATGCCGTAGTTCACTGAGGTTACTCACAGCAATAGGATTTACTACCAAATGTAGTACTTGTTTGCAGGAACTTACTGAATCCTACTGAAAACATAAATAGCATATGTCACAAACAACAATTCCATTTGAAAAGTTCTGTGGGGTCTCCCTCTGTGTGATGGGAAAATAAAAAAAAATAGGTTCTCTCTGGATACTGCCATTTTCCCTGCTCTGACAGGATTTCACTCTACTTGACCTTCTAACATGAAAAGCTACTGAAATTGGAGCACATTTTAATAAGATCATTATTATTGGAGCCATACCTTTTCTGGTTCTTGATATTTGCTATATCTGAAAGGAAAATCAAGGGCATTCAAACCACACACAAATAGCTGCCATTTGATTAGAGTTTGTGAAGGCAACCCTTTGAAGTAGGGGAAAGTTATGAAAGTGATATGTATTTTCAATTTTTGCAAACTTAATTACAAAAAGTAAACAAAATAATGCTTAATAAAGGATACAAATAAATTCCTTCTAGCTTAGATAGAATGAAATCTGGAGACGCTACATCTCCTTCTATAACTAGGAGAAATAATAGGAAAACAAACAGAATGAATTTTTTTCCCCATAGAAATTTCTTCATTAACCTCAAAAATCAGTGACCAGAATTCTAAATTGCTGCCAAATGTATGTAAATGTCTTAAACATACACTAAAATAGTTTGCATACATAAAAATCCTAAAACGTCTTTACAAAAATCCCAAACCTGTAGCCTAACACTTTGTATAATCTCACCCAACAGTATGACACATCATAAAACGTAGAACGCTTTCTTCTAGAATCTGAGTTTTGCAAGTTAGTATTTTTCTTAAGTCTTTTTGATCCATCACAGAAATATAAAATTTCAAGATAATAAACCCACACACTTTGGGTCTCCTGTACAAATGCAGTTACCATATCATTTCTCATTGCACGTTTGCTTACCAACTTCAACAAACTCATTGTCTTCTAATGTATCTTCCAAAGTATCATCATGATCCAGCAAGCCAAGGCCTTTGCACCTTCGAACACAGAATTTCACTTCTTCCACAGAGTTAAAGCCCCCATTATCAGGCTTGTTTTTCATGTAACGTCTCACAGCTTCTTTCCCCAGCCATCTCACTGTGTTAGTGCCTGTTTGGCAAGGCACAGCCAGCCATTCTCCTCGGACATGCACTGTGTACCTTGGCATGCTTCTGTCTACAGTTGTCTCTCCACTGAAGGCAACTATAGCTTGAAAAAGCTTTTTGTTTCTCACATTATAGCCTAAAGAACAGCACCTGACTGGATTCTAACGTCCCAATCAGAAAAAGGCAAAAATTCCCTCCCCCCACCAAAGGTCTGCACTTTTACAAATAAGTTAGTATATTTAACAAGTTTTATCTACTCAAAAGCCAAACCTGGCAGCAAACTTTTTCCTAGACAAGGGATGGAAAACTGCTGGCACAGGAGTTATCTTTCGAGATTATGCAAAGAAAGTAGGCCCGGCTCCTTCAAGGTATCATGGTACCTCTATACAGGCAGTCCCCGAGTTTCGCGGATCCGACTTATGTCGGATCCGCCTTATGTCGGATCCGCACTTACGAATGGGGCTTTCTCGCCCCGGAGCTCGAAGGCAGCAGGACCGCCCAGAGCGCAGTGGTCCCGCCACCTCGACCTCCAGGGCGAGAAAAGCTGCTCCGGGTGCCCCTGGTCTGCTGGGGACCGTCTCCAGCAGACCAGGGACACCTGGAGCAAAGCCGGGGAGGCGGAGGGGTCCCGCGCCTCTGAGGCTTTGCTCTGGCAAAGCCGGGGAGGCGCGGGACT